ATTAGTGCTAAATGTTGTAAAAGCTTTTCATCTCGTACTCACCAGGACAGGTGCAAGGACGTAAAATTTCAGTGTGTTCTCTATGGCGAAACTTTCACCAATCAGATTGGTGACCAATTAGCACCCGTCTCTTATAAATTGTTCCTTTGAAGACTGGCATTCTTGCATGTTGTTATGATGTGGAACAAACTGTTTCTCATTTGTCATTTATTTTCTGCAATACTCAGGCTCAGAAGACATTATATTTGATCTCCTTCCCAGCTCCCGTCACCACACCATCCTGTTTCATTAATTACAAACTGTTGGTAATTACTGTCATTCAATGACAACAGTGCAGCTATTTGATAGCTGCCTTCTTAAGGCTGCTTGTTAATCAGGCCATTCAGTTCTGGGTTAGGCCGCTGCCCTGAGCTGCATTTTCATTATTTTTTGCACCTTGTGTGAATGAATTTGAAAATAAGCATAACATTGCTCACCCGAGCTGGCTACGTTTTGTATCTCTCTCTGTGCCATTAATTCTAGGTGATCTCCATTCTAAGCATGAAAGGTTTCCCACAGTCTATTGATTACTCTGCCACTTGTTAGCGTGTGTTTCGATTTGTTTGGTATTAGCTTATCATTCAAGTGCGTGGCCACATTTGCACAACATTGACAAGAACATTAGAATCAGTGATGGCTCACAACGAATAAATCTGTTTCCAAGCAGTCTCGATTTTTATCACTCCACCCCTCCTGGAAGGAGGCCCCAGAGGGGCCTTACTACATGGGTACTGAAAAAAAACACTTCCATTGTTAGAAGGACTCTACATCAGGGGTTAAAAGGCCATTCAGCCCGACTGTTCTTTGCTGTCTGTCTGATGGAAAATGTATGGAGGGGGGGACGCAGGTCAGCACCAAGGGCTGTTCATAAAATCCCTAGAATTTGAAAAGAGGCCATTTGGCCCATTGGGTCTGCACTGAACCTCTGAAGAGCATCCCACCCAGACCCTGCAACCCCACATTTAGCATGACTAACCCACATCCCTGGACACAACCAACAATTTAGCCCATCCACCTAACCTGCCCATCTTTGAACTGTGGGAAGAAACTGGAGCTCCCAGAGGAAACCCACGCAGACACAGGGAGAATGTGCAAACTCCACACAGACAGTCACCTGAGGGTGGCATCAAACCCAGGGCCCTGGCACTGTGAGGCAGCAGTGCTAACCACTGAGCCACCTTTGCCAAAGAAACCTTGTTGGGACCAATCAAGGAATTAGATGAATAAAGGAAGGGGAACTAACTCTTCCCTTCTTGCCTGAAAGCTTACCAGTTTGAAGAACCCTGTTTGGAACCAGAATGAATTGGGGTCTGGTCATAATGCTATTCAATTAATTAGTCCAAGAAAAGTAATCAATGATTCAGTTTCATTGAAATGTGGTCATTCGGACAAAGTGGACACTCAAATCCACAGCAGGATTTCAGCACTAACTCCCTCATATTGCACCCACATAGTTTCAGACTAGGAGTATAGCGGGGTGAGCCTTGCTTTTGGTCACCTGTTTGACATCTCTGCACTTTGAAGTTCACACGCTCACCTCCACTCCATGCCAACAGGTTTCCATCTTTCCTGAGGGTTAAGAATCAATAAGATTCTAAGATAGTTTGTCATACTGACATTTGACATCACGGGTGAATGACTATCACGAAGCTAAACAGCTAATGCCTGTACCTTTCTGCTTAGAAACTGGCGCCACGCTCCATATTCAATGGAGACATTGATTACCTTTCATTATTCTTCCAAGCTGCCCAATTCACACACACTTAGACACAGAAATACACACATACATGCAGACATATGCATGTACACATTAACACATACATACATAAACATACACACATATACATGTACATCTTCACACACGTATACATGCAAATAGACATGCTATGCACACATACGCAGATGCATACACAAACAAAAATTAACACACACGAACACGTATACACACACACAGACACACACGTACACACACACACACTACCACACACACACTCACACACACATACACACTAACACACACACACATACACACACACACACAATGTACGAGCATGAATTATTGATGTAAGCAACTGACCATCCAGTACCTTCACTCCCTCACTCTTCCCCTCCCCTCCATCCCTAGTTCACTTTGGTCTTCCCTTGCCCTCCTCGGAGCCCATTGTCAGGTCCTGTTTCTTGCTGTTGCCCTAAGGTGTGTGGGCAGAAATTCCTGATCCAACCAAACCCGCATGGGAATTCTTATACACAGCTTCCATCCAGCAATAAGACCATCAGAAATAGGAATGGGAGTAGGCCATTCAGCCCCTCAATCCCCTACTCTGCCAGTCAATAGGACATGGCTGACCCAACATTTGCCCTGTCCACTTTCCTGCACTTTCCCCATGGCCCCTGATTCCCCGACAGATCAAGAATCTATCTGTCACAGCCTTAAATATACACAAGGACTCTGTCCCCACAGCTCTCTATAGCAAGGAGTTCCAAAGACTCATGACTCTCTGAGAGAAGAAATTTCTCCTCATCTCAATCTTAAATTGGTACCCATTTATTCTGAGACTATGCCCTCTGGTCCTAGACTCTCCCATTTAGGGGAAACATCCTCTCAGCATTTACCCTGTCAAGCCCCTGAAGACTCTGATATGTCTCAATGAGATCATCTCTCATTCTTCTAACCTCCAGTGAGTAGAGTCACGACCTGTATAGCCTTTGCTCATTAGGCAATGATTCCATACTGAGGACCATCTTTCCATACCAGGTATCAGCTTTGGTGTAAGGCAGGAACCCAAGTGGGAGCTTTATATTCACTGTACCTATAAAACCCTTGCATCTTTAATCTTCAGGCAGATGCAACTTTTTACTTAGATTAATGAGTAAGATAACTGTAGAGGAAGGTTACAGCCTGATAGCCTCCCTTTGGGAATGTCTAGAGATGTCTTCCACCCACCTAAAATTTTGGTCCCCTTACTGGAGGAAAGATGCAATCACATTAAAGGCATTTCAGAGAAAGTTCGCCAGACTAATTCCAGAGATGAAAGGTTAATCTTTTCAGGAGAGTTTGAACAGCCTAGATCCATACTCACTAGAGTTTAGAAGGATGAGAGGAGATCTAACTGAGGTGTACACGATGCTAAAAGGGATTGATAAAGTAAATACAGAGTGGATGTTTCTCTTCTTGGGGTAATCTAAGACAAGATGACATCGTTTTAGGATAAGGGGTGGAAGATTTAAAACAAACATGAGGAGATATTACTTCTTTCATGAATTCACTAAGAGAGCAGTAGACACCAGGGCACTGGATAAATTTAAAGAGGAGACAGACAGATTTTTAATTAGTAATGAGTGAGAGAGCAACGGCAGGAAAATGGAGTTGAGACCAAGTTGAGATCAACCATGATCCTATCAAATGGCAGAGCAGGCTTGAGGGGCTGCATTTCTTATTGTTGCTCCTGGTTCTTATGTTCAGAGGGTTGTGAAAGGAGACTGTAGGCCAAAGTCTTGCGTGACCAACCTCCAGGATCATCTTGGTACATCTCCAGTGAACAACACAGGAGAAAAATCACAAGGAAACGAGTTACATTTAAACAAAAAAAGAATCTTTGAAGACTTTTGTTTATTAATCGTAAGAATATTGGATATTGGGAAAGAAAGGCGATTTGATTCCCATATAAACAATACATTCATTTCCAAATGTTACTGGTTTGTCACTCTGAGTGGCCAAGAATCACCCAATCTGGATATGAAGAGTTTATTTGTTTTCTAATTAGCTAATAAATTTCTAATAATTCTTATTAGAATAATAATTTTCTTATTATTCACTCAGGGGACGTGGGTGTTGCTGGCTGGGTGAAAATTTATTATCCATCCCTGGTTGGCCTTGAGGTGGTGGTGAGCTACCTTCTTGAACTGCTGCAGTCTTTTTTGTGTAGGTAAACTCACGATAACATTAGGGAGGGAATTTCAGGATTTTGGCCCAGTGACAGTGAAGGAACAGCGATATATTTCCAAGTCAGGATGGTGAATGGGGTGGAGGGAAACATGGAGGGGATGGCGTTCCCTTTGCTCTTCGAGATGGAAGTGGTCATGGGCTTGGAAGGAGTTATCTAATTATCTTTGGCGAATTTCTGAATGTATCGTGTATTTGGTACACACTGCCGCTACCGAGCATCAGTGGTGGAGGGAGTGGACGTGCCAATCAAGTGGGCTGCTTTCTCCGACATTAAGCAAGCAACGACAGATGCCTTAATGGAGAGATTGTTGGGACATTTAATGGGGTAGAGTCAAGTAATATGACCAACAACAGGATACAATCTGTCCATGAGTTAATCCTAATTCTGTAATCAATTGATCTAAAGTAATGTTTCCAGGTAATCTATGCTCTCCTAATTTCTTAGCCATAATCCTAGCAGAAACTAATGAAATTGAGTCTGTTTGCAAACAACCTGATGTTCATTTTTATCTGCCCCACATGATGCTTTCAATGCATCTTATCCACCTGAAGAGGTATCTTTCTGACCTTGCTGACTTCAACATTTCTATTGTTTATGTTTAAATAAATTTAAGATGCCTCGCCAGTTCCAAAAGCAAGCAAAGCTCTGAATCTGACAAGTTTTGCCTGATATTTTCATATAACTTAGTGTCACAAAACAATAGCGCTCAGGACAAAACCATTCTGTCCATCGAGGCTGTGCTTTCTCCTTGAGAACTAACCAACCAGTTCTGCTGCTCCATTCATTCCTCATTGTCCTCCAAACACTTCCCCTCCAACTATTTATCCAATACCTTTAGAACATAGAACAGTACAGCACAGTACAGGCCCTTCGGCCCACGATGTTGTGCCGAACTTTTACCCTAAACCTAAGGTCTATCTAACCTCCACCCCTATCTTATACTATCATCCATATGCCTATCTAATAGCCGCTTAAATGCCCCTAATGAGGCCGACTCCACTACCCTCTCAGGCAATGCATTCCACGCCCTGACCACTCTCTGGGTAAAGAACCTACCTCTGATGTCTCCCCTATATCTACCTCCACTCACTTTAAAACTATGCCCCTTCGTAATAGCTTTAAAAAAGATCCTTTCGATTCTGCTTCCAGCACCATTTCAGGAAAAGCATTGCAGTTTGGTTGAGGCAGTGACATAGCAGTAATGTTACTGCATTCAGTATCCAGAGACTCATGCTAATGTTCAGGGGAACATGGACTCATGGGTTCAAATCACACCATTGCAGATGGTTGAAGCTGATGTGCAAACGAAGCAAGGGTGATATGAGAAATAACATTTTCACACAGCGAACAATTAGGGTATGGAATACACTGCCTGCAAATGTGGTGGAAGCTGGTTCAATTAAAAAGGGCCATTGGATGATTGTTTAGATACAAAATAAGGTGCAAGGATATGGGAAAAAAAGGCAGGGGGATGGTACTCAGTCTTGATGCTCATTTGATCTTCTGGTGCAGACATGATGGACCAAATGGCCTCTTTCGTCACCTTAACATGATACCATGAAACCTCCAAAATGACCAATTATTGGCCAATTGAGGACCTCAACGCACTGCCTCTCCAATCAGCTGCCACCTACATCCCCACCCCCCACAACCCTGCTCCAGTGGATGATTATGGCAGCTGGATTCCTGACTGAGAAATCATGTAACTGCCAGATAATGCTGAGGGTGGGGACTCCAGTTATACCAAGGTGGGAGCCATCAGAGGAACGGACCCAACCCCTTAAACCCCCTCGTTATGACCCCCAACTCCATGAGAGGAGTATAAAATTTACTTGCCTTACTATCATTGGATCACCTCATGACAAGCCATACCAGAATGGGGGAGGTGGGGCAGGGGTTAGTCCAAGACATTGCTAGCCTCTTATTGGATAGCAACATCTCAGGCCAGCATTGAGGCCTGTGATTAGCTGAAAAGCTTGCCCTCATTCTGGGAGCTGACTGAATGTGTTTTCTTGGCAGTAAGGGATTGGCGAGTTATTCATTGCCCCCCAAACACTTTTAACAGAAAGAGCCCTGGGAGAATTTTACCTATAGAATCTAACTAATAGCAACACAGAGAGGCCATTTGTCCCATCGTGTCAGTGCTAGAAAAGGTAGAGTTTCCTGTCAAGGTCCTGTCTCCTTCCCCGCTTTTCAACGATGTCATGAGAGGCAGGGAGCTGAAGAGAAAAAGACAAATCTTCAGGTTCAAACTTCTCACTGACATTTTGGGAATGGTGTGACACGGTGACATTTGCTCCTTCAAGAACTGTACAACAAACAAGCTCTAACCCAAAAAGCCAAATCGCACCCAGTGTCAGAAACCTGTCCTGTCAATGTTCATTCATCGTGGCATTAACATTACCTGAAACGAGGCCCCTCTGACACGATCAATCACTCACCCTCACCGCCCATGACAGTTTAAGACTCACTATATTGGCCAATGTTTCAATTCATTTTGGTAACCACAAGTTTTATGGATTCCGTACATTTTTCAAGGCTTCCCCACGGTGCACCCCAACACTGCCATTCTTGGAAATGATAAACCGCGAGCACTGTGGATGACAGTAGAACTCCCACTGAGCCAGAGATCTTATTTTTTTGCTCGTAAAATTCTCAGGAGCAGCCAGGTCAGATTGCTTTCTTAGACAATTTGGCAAACGTGTCTCAGGCCCAGGAGCATAAGAACTGGCGACAGAGAAATGGAACAGCATCTGCAGATAATTATCACTTAATGGGTTCGATTGAACAGCACAGTCTTGAGTTTTAGCTCTATGTGATTAATGCTATCACATTATTAATGATTCATGCTGCAAGATTACTTCGACCTTTCCATCCTGTTCCTAAAAATATGCCCCAGTCTCTGCCTTTCCTCCTGTGTTGAAAGTCCCCCACCAAGTCCACCATTCCCTCTGCAAGATCCTGTCGGCTACAATTACTTTGAAAGCACTGTGCCCAGCAGACAACACAACACACCCCGTTGTTCTGCGCCTTGAGACGCCGATTTGTCCAACTTGGCCGCAACTTTCCTGGCCCGTTCAACGTCTTTATGCCAGGGCTTTGGAGACAGCCCCGCCCCCGGTGAGCAGAGCTCTCAGCTGGTCGACCTGGTATAGCCGAGTTCGCTCATGACTGACCAGCACGTGTCCTCAATGAGCCTGATGTCCTTCTGGGGCATCCTGTCCCTCCAGGCATGGAGGCTGCTGGGAGAGACCTCGCCCTCAAACGGTAGGTGAAACAGGTTGGTCGAGGTGGCGAAAAGGATGCGGTTCAGGGCAGCCGGGGGGAGGACAAAACCCAGGAAGGTGTAGATTCTCTCGGCCGTTTCCTGAGGGGCCTCGACGAGGTCCTCAAATTTCAGCAGGTGGTAGTTGCCGGGCGACAGCTTCTTGTTTACCCTCAGTGTCGCCCTGGTGTTTGCGAGCCAGAGGTGAGCCAGGAGGGTCACCGGGTCTTTGGCCGCCGATGAGAACTGCCTCCGGAGGGATTCGTACTCAAAGGCATAGCCGGAGTTTGGGTCACATCGCTCCTTTCGCTGGTCTTCTCTGAAGAGCATGGCCAAGTGCTGGGGCACGTTCCTCAGGGAATAAAGGCTGGGCTTGCTGTTATAGAGCAGGGAGTAGACCCAAGCACGAGGATCCCTCACCACATACAGGGCCCTCATTGAAGATCCAATCACGGCCTGCACAAAGGGCAGTTTCAGCGTCCAGCTCCCGCTGCTCAAACTGAGGACCACCCGGGCATTGGGATAGGAGGCGAGGTGCCTCCTCAGCCCCATGACATATTCCGCATCCCTCTCCAGGTTTTCCTTGTACTTGGAGCTCTGGTCAACCTTCCTGCGGGCTTTCCTCTTCCTGAGTGGGGGGCTATTGTTGGCTGGCGGAGCTCCCCTGGGCGGGCCATGCAGGGCGATGTTCTGTAGGTGCAGCTTGGTGTTGTGGACCAGGGACTGGAGCCAGCCCTGGATCAGACGGTAACGTCCCGCCCGCGCGTCCGACTCCCTCCACTCGCAGGCGTCGACGAAGGAGTCAAACTCGAACTCCACCTCGGGCAGGTCGAGGTGCTCCGTAGGGACCCTAATGTAGACAAAATCGGTGCTGTTGGCAAAGAGGTGCCTCAGGATTTCGGCCCCTGAGCCCGGCAGCGAGGTGACCACCACCGGCGACATTTTCCCCAGGCCATCATCCCACTGCTCGGAGGGTCCTCCTCCTCCCTCGGCACTGTCCCCAGCCCCGGTCCAGGCCATTCCGCACGGGGGCCTGGAGCACGTGCCCCACAGCACCACCAGCTCCAGGAACCACAGGGTGATGAGCGCCAACAAGGCCAGGCGCAGCAGGCGCCCGAAGGAGATGCAGAGTTTCCAATGGGCAGCCACCAGCGCCAGGCCGAGGCACAGGCCGGCACCCAGGAGGCTCCTCAACGCAGGCCCGAAGCGGAGGAAAGTGGGCACGGGCCTCCCGGGGCCCCCGGACGGAGCTGACCCGAAACCGAACCTGGTCACCCGCCGTCCTTCTTCCACCTTGGCGTAGCCCCCGAAACCCAGGTAGCGGAAGCGGGCGGTGGGGTCGCTGTGCTGGGTGGCCACGGAGACCAGCAGCTCGGTGTCGTTGACGGTCAGCACCAGCCTGAGGCCGCGGGCTGAGTCGTCGGCGAAGCGGCAGTCGGTGACACGGGCCCAAGGCCCATGGAAGACGTAGGCAATGCGTGTGAACCGCTCGCCCAGCGGGAAGGTCACATTGACGTACTGCGTCCAGCGCTTCTTGAACTCCGCCACCTGCTCGGCCTCCTGGATGCGGGGGGCTGGGCTTCCCCCGCGGTGGTCGAACCAGAACATGGCATACTGAGCGTCCCAGACGTCCATCATGGCGCCATTGAGGTGACCAGCCGCCTGGTGAGCCACGTACTTGAAGTCAATGTCCAGGTTGTGGAAGAAGGCGCTGACCAGCTGGAGCGGGGAGCCTTGGCGCTTCTCGATGTGATCCACCACCAGCAGGACCTGGGGGCTTAGCAGCAACACGGCACGGTAGACACTCTGAAGGCCCATGGCGGAGGAGTAGGCGGGAGCTGCCTCCCCGCTGGTGAACAGCATTCCTCCATCCTGAGTGGCGGTCACCAGCTCACCCGCCGAGTTGCCAGCCTCACCCACCATCCAGTTGAGCCATTGGCCGCACTCACCCAGCTGGCCCTCCCAGGGCTGGTTGCACTGACTGCTGGGAGATGGTGAGAAGACCAGCACATTGTTTAGGTGGCTGTACTTGGGCCCGTACAGAGCCTCGGACACAAAGACTTGGCCGCCGGGGGCAAAGGTGAAGGAGTTCTGGTCTGGGTGCTCGTGGCCCGGGTTGAAGTTCCTCCAGCCGTCAATCCACGAGTACGGGCTCTCGTGGACAATCCCGTAGACCGCCCGCCCTCCCAGCTTCCCCGACTTGAACGAGACGAAGGTGTTGCCCGGCTCGTTGGGCAAGCCGCCCCCGTAAGTGACCACCCCCCAGTTGGAGAAGACGTGGAGGCGGGGCGTGCCGTGATGGGCGGGCGGCTGTGGGGTCAGCTCCGGGTCGTACCAGATGTATTCGGTGTGGAGCGTACACCACTTGTGGGCGCTGGAGGGCTCCATCGGGCCGTCCTTGGCACGGTGCTTCCTGATCTGCTTGGCCAGCCAGTTCCCACTGCCGTTCCTCAGCACGTACCTGCACAACACAGAACATACACCAACCTTAGACATGGGAGAATGGGCAACAACTTAAACCATCACAAGTAGGAATGGGAGTAGGCCATTCAGCCCCTAAAGCCTTCAATGGGATCATGCTGATCTAAAACTCCTAATGTCCACTTTAGAGCATTAAACAATACAGCAGAGTCCAGGCCCTTCGGCCCACGATGTTGTGTCGAACTTTTACCCTAAACCTAAGGTCTATCTAACCGCCACCCCCACCTTATACTTTCCCAGCCTTTCCCCCTTACCCTTGATTCCCCCACTGATCAAGAGTCTATCTCGGTCTTAAATATACACAGGGACTCAATCCCTACTGTTGTCTGTGGCAAGGAGTTCCAAAGACTCACAACCCTCTGAGAGAAGAAATACCTCCTCATTTCAGTCTGAAATTTGCACTCCTTTATTCTGAGGCTATGCCGTCTGCTCCCAGTCTCTCCCGTGAGAGGGGAAACATCCTCTCAGCCTTTACCCTGTCAAGAATCTGAAATGTTTCAATGAGATCACCTCTCAATCTTCTAAACTCCAAAGGCAACAGTCCCAGCCTGTTTAGTCTTTGTGCGTAAGATAATTCCTCCAAACCAGGGACCGTCTGGATGAGCCAAATGCCAGATTATCCCCAGCCCCGTCTTGCAGCGTTTATTCTACACGTTCTCCCCCATGTCTTCAGCAGGACTGCCCTGTGTGAAAAATCTCAGACAGGAAGCTAAACATGAGAATTGGTAATGTTGTTCTACATCATTGCCAGCTCCCTGAGTCAGACACACCGACAACCAGCAGGATCTGTGTGAAAACGGTTCACCGGTCATCTGCCAAACATCCAGTAAGTTTCCAGGCAGCCTCCTCTACTTGAAACAAACGGAAAGGAGAACAGTGGGATCTAACAAATCTTGGCAAGTAATCCAAACTGATTCTACAAGTACATTAAGAGCAAGAGAGCAACTAGACAGAGAGTAGGGTCCCTTAACGATCTTTGTGTTGAACCTTAGGAGATGGGAGAGATATTAAACAAATATTTTGCATCAGTTTTTACTATAGAGAAAGAAATGGAGGCTAGAGAACTCAGGGAAATAAATATTGATGTTTTGAAAACAATTCACAGTGCAGAAGAGGAAATGCTGGAGGTCTTAGAAAACATAAAGGTGAATAAATCTCAGGGACTCGATCTAGTGTATCCCAGGACTTTGTGGGAAGTTAGGGAGGAAATTGCAGGGCCTCTTATAGAAATATTTGTATCATCTATAACCACAGGTGAGGTGCCAGAGGACTGGAGAGGGGCTAACATTGTGCCTTTGTGAGTCTGATTTCGGTGGTGGGTATGTTGTTGGGAGTGATTCTGAAAGATAGGATTTATATTTGGAGAGGCAAAGAATGATTAGGGATAGTCAGCATGGTTTTGTGTGAGGGACATTGTGTCTCACAAACTTGAAGAATTTTTTTGAGTAAGTAGCAAAGAAGATTGATGAGAGCAGAGTGGTAGGCATTGTTCACTTGGACTTTAGTTAAGCCTTTGACAGGGTTCCACATGGTAGACTAATTAGTAAAGTTAGATCACACGGGATTCAGAGTGAGATTGCCAATTGGATACGAAATTGGTTTAATGTCAGCAGACAGAAAGTGACGACGAATGATTGTTTTTCAGAGTGGAGGACTGTGACCAGCGGTGTTCCACAGGGATTGGAGCTGGGTCCACTTTTGCTTGTCATTTTTATAAATGACTTAGATGAGAATAGGGAAGGCATGGTTAGTACATTTGTGGACGACACAGAAATTGGTGATATAGTGGACAGTGAAGGAGGTTATCTAAGATTACAAAGGCATCTTGATCAATTGGGTCAATGGGCTGAGCAGTGGCAGATGGAGTTTAATTTGGATAAATGCAAGGCATTGCATTCTGGTAAAACAAACAAGGACAGGACTTGTACAATTAAAAGGAGGGCTTGGGTATTGTTGTAGACCAGAGAGACCTAGGGGTTCAGGCACATAATTCTTTGAAGTTTGCATCACATATAGACAGGTTGATTAAGTAGGTGTTTAGCACACTTACCTTCATTGCTCAACACTTTGAGCATAGGAGTTGGGATTTTATGTTGAGGTTGTACAGGACATGGTGAGACTTATTCTGGAGTGCTGTGTCCAGTTCTGGTCACCCTGTTATAGGAAAGATATAATTAAGGTGGACAGGGTGACCAGTAGAGATTTACCAGCATGTTGCTGGGAATGGAGGGTTTGCGTCAGAAGGAAAGGCTGAATTGGCAGGGATTTTTTTCACCGAAGGAAGTTGAGGGGTGACCTTATAGAAGTTTGTAAAATTATGAGGGGTATAGATAAGCTGAATGGCAGGTGTTATTTTTCCCTAGGATGGGGGATTTCGAGACTAGAGGGATTTTTTTTTAAGGTGAGAGGAGAAAGAAGGGCATGAGGGGCAACGTTTTTACACAGAGAGTGGTTTGTGTGTAGAAAGAATTTCCAAGGAAGTGGTGGATGTGGGTACAGTTACAATGTTTAGAGGGATATGGGCCAAGTGCAGGCAACTGGGACTAGTTTAATTTGGGATTATGGTCAGTTCCCTGCTGCATGGCTCTACGTCAGTGCAAGAGGAGGCCATTCAGCCTGTCCCACCTCGCTGTTTGAAAGAACTATTGAGTGTTATCCCACATCACAGCTGTTTCCGTCTCATAAAGTCAGAGCTGAAAGGCAGATCCCTGGCTCATTGTCACCTTGAGCCATTCAACTGGCAATTTTTACCCAAAAAAGTTGGTCAGCAATACTTTCCCGTCGCTTTTCATTCAAAGGAGGCAGGTCTTAACTTGATCGCAGGTGGAATGGGAATGGATCCCACACAGTTAGGTATAATATATTGAATTCCTGTGATGGCGAACTAACCTAACCATTTCTGAAGAAGGGTCCAGACCCAAAACGTCAGCTTTCCTGCTCCTCTGATGCTGCCTGGCCTGCTGTGCTCCTCCAGCTCGACACTGTGTTATCTCTTAACCTAACTGTTCCCCTGATCAGTGAGCACACTGTAGTCTTGTAAATGAATCCTCTTCAAGTGCATATCTAGTAGCCTTTTAGCAGATCCCATGGAATCTGACTCAGTAAGCTTCACACGGTCAGGAAGGAGAGGTCACATCTGGAGTGAGACACAGCCGGAGCGAGTATATAGTTTAGGGAATTGGGATGCAGCATGGAAATTTGGTGGACAGCGATAGACGTGCCTTTAACAGGGTAAGTAAAAGCCCGGGCTCAAGGACCTGCCACAAAGGAGTGATGTCACAGGAAAACCAAAAGTTCATTGGCTGGTAATAGCTCCTAATTTGACTATCTATTCCAGGTTACTTTCAGATTGAACGAAATAGGAGAAATATTTTCAAATAATAAGTTAAAAGTCAGTTGGATTTTTAAAGAAAAACAAATGAGAAGCTGAGTAAACAAAACAGAGATGCCGGACCAGAAAATCTGTTGTTCCCCATTGTGGGTCATAGTGACCACATCTGGAGCAAGTGTTGGTTGTTGATGAACTCTGGCTCAGAGTTGATGGGCTGGAGTCTGAGCTCCGAATGCTGTGACACATCAGGGAGGGGGAAAGAGTTACGTGGAAACTGCATTACAGGAGACAGTCACATCTTTTAGATTAAATGTCTCAAAATCCGTCAGTGGTCAGTATCAGGTGGGTGTGACTGCCATCAAGGCATAAAAGCAAAAGGAAAAAGTATACAATGTGGTGGGAAGCAAGAGGATTGGGAAGCATTTAATCAGTAGCAGAGGAGAACTAAAACAGTAATAAGTGGGAGTGAGAAGAAAGATGCAAGTAAGCTAGCTAGTAATATAACTAAAATTGCAAGAGTTTTTTTTTAATATATAAAAGGTAAGAGAGACGCAAAAGCAGACATTGGGTCAATGGAAATGAGGTTGGAGAAGTAGTAATGGGGAACAAAGAAATGGCAGAGGAACTGAATAGGTATTTTTCATCAGCTGTCACATTGGAAGACACCAACAGCGTACCAGATCTTCAGGAGAAGAAAACTACAAGCGAATCAAGGGACAGAAGTGAGTGTAGTGACCCTCACCAAGGAGAAGGTGCTGGGGAAACTGAAAGGTTGGATAAATCACCCGGACTGAAGGAGATAGAGGAGGGGATTGGAGAGGTATTGATGTGATCTTTCAGGAATCACTGGGGTTGGGGAGGATCCCAGAGGACTGGAAAACAGCTAATGAAACACCCCTGTTTAAGAAGGGAGGGAGGGAAGCAGATGATAGGAAACTATAGCCTGACCTCAGTAGATGGTAAGATGGTAGAGTCCATTATTAAGGTTGAAATTGCTGAGTATTTGGATGTGCATGTTAAAATAGGGCCAAGTGAGTGTGGCTTTGTCAAGGTGAGGTCATGCCTGACAAATCTGTCAGAATTCTTTTTCAAAGAATCCTTACAGTGTGGAAGAAGGCCATTCAGCCCATCAAGTCCTCACCAGCCCTCCTCAGAGCATCCCACCCTATCCCATGTCTAATCCACCTAACCTATGTACCCATGGACATTATGGGCGATTTAGCATGGCCAATCCACCAAACCTGCACATCTTTGGACTGTGGGAGGAAACCAGAGCACCCAGAGGAAACCCACGCAGACACAGAGAGAATGTGCAAACTCCACACAGACAGTCACCTGAGGGTGGAATTGAACCCAGGTCCCAGGTGCTGTCAGGCAACCGTGCTAACCACTGAGCCACTGTGCCACCCCTTTGGGGAGGGATGAGCAAGTTAGACAAAGAAGAGCCAGTGGATGCGATCCATTTGGATTTCCAGAAGGCCTTTGTCAAGGTGTCACATGAGAGGCCTGCTAAATAAGATAAGAGCCCATACATTAGGGGCAAGGTATTAGCATGGTTAGAGGATTATCTGACTGGCATAAGGCAGAGAGTGGGGATAAAGGGGTCTTTTTGAAGATGGCAAACAGTGACTAGTGGAGTTCCGCAGGAA